CAGTCGGGCACTTTGGGCTTGGAATCAAAAACCCAAGGCCCTGAAATGCAACGCCCCCTCCCTCCCCCCCCCTCCGCCCCTCCCCCTCAATCGCTGAAACCCTACACCCAAGCTCCTAAAGCCGTAGACGAGAACCCCAAAGCCTAAGGAGGGTGGTTTAAAACTGGGGGGTTTGGAGCCGAGCTGGGTTTCGGGTTTAGGGCAAAAAACCCTGTAAACCCAAGGAAAAATTCAGGGAGCGTGATTTTTAGGAGTTCACCCCCCCACGTCAACAGTCATCGAAAAGGGTTCTCCATGGCTTAGCGAAGTGCTCAGGTGGTGGGGTCATTTAGTCTTTGATCTTTGTTAAAACGCTCCACTCTCTACGTCTCAAGACCCTAAACCCTAAACTCTAAACCCTAAACGCGCTCCAGGACATCTCGGAGTTCAAGGCAACGATTGAGGCGCCCCGAAGTTTGCAAAGCTAAGACGCCCTACTGTGGCGGCTGGAGTCTTTTGTTCAATTCGGGGCCCATGGAATGGGGGGGTTGGCGAGTATTAGGGGTGGTACCTTATGGGGGCTTCGGGTTTAGGGTTATGAGGGGGTGCCTTATTGGGGTCCTTGTGATAACGGGAATCCCTCCAATGTTCAATGAGAATGTGTCACTCCCCTATGATACCCTAAACCCTGTAAGTTTCCGGTGTTGGAGGGGGCATCTGCCACATTGAAAGATCCAGCTCCAGGACCAGGAACCACGACCTTAACCCACCCGAAGCCCTTTGAACCCGAATGTCTTTGTAACACCCCTCTATGGTCTAGGGGTTAGGGTTCCCCTAACTCCGGCCTAAACCCTAAACCTTATAAAGGTTAGGGAGCTAACACCTGAGCTGCCAACCCACAACCCTCAAAACCGGGTGCAGGCTCAGGCCAAGAAGACCATGGAGGCTCAGGCGCGTGGTTTTGGGCGCCAAGTGTGGCACAGACAGGTAGACGGCACAGGGTTTAGGGTTTAGGGTTTAGGGTTTAGGGTTTCGGGTGGAGGGGTATAGGTTCTGACAAAACCACGACATGATGTGACGTGAGGTGCCTGCTCTGCTTCCTCGTCCCAAACGTTAACAAAACCCTAAAGAACCCTAAAAACCCTTAAGAACCCTAAAAACCCTCAAGAACCCTATAAACCCAAGAACCGGAAAAAAAGCGAAAAAACAAAAGAAAAACCTAAACAAGAAATCCCAAGAAGGGGAACGTCGGTGGAGCACTACCGCTCGCCACGCAACGGCGCAGGATGCGGCCTCCGAGTCCAGCCTTAAGGACATGGAGGCCGCCGGTGGTTGCAGCGATTTAGGGTTTAGGGTTTAGGGTTTAGGATTTAGGGTTTAGGGTTTGGGGTTTAGGGTTTCGGGTCCAAGGCTTTTAGGTTTTTTATAGGGGTAACGGTTTGGGGCCTTTAGGGTTTAGCCTTGAGGGTTTAGGTTTGTATGGGTTTGGGTTTTAGGGGTTGAGATGTAGGTTTTTGCGGCTTCAGGCCGAAGCTCAGCTGCTCTACAGGCAGAAGTTTAGCGTTTAGGGTTTAGGGTTTAGGGTTTAGGGTTTAGGGAGCCCCGTAATGAAGGCACATGCACCTTAGGTCTACACTGGCAGAATCATTGGTCCTTGCACGCATCTGTAGATGTGGCGATTCAAAAAAAAGGACCTATAGTAGTTCAAACTTGGAAAAAAGACCCCTCGAGACCAGGCTCGATCATCCTCCAACCTCGAGAAGTACATCGACGCCCAGGCCGTGAAGCGTGGACTCAAGGTGCGGCACCCTAAACCCCAAACCCTGAACCCTGAACCCTAAACCCTACACCCTAAACCCTAAACCCAGGAGCAACCAGCAAAACGAAACTGGCGGACCCCTGAAATGAGGAAGGGTTTAAGTTGAGGATTTAGTTTAGGGGGTTTACTGGCGGGCCTTGCGGTTTCTTAAGGCTTCGGGGCTCTCAGGGAGCCTTCCAAATCCTGAAGCCCTGATGCAAGGCCGGAAGCCTACAAACTCCATCCCCCTAGAACTTAGACCCCAGCCATAAAGCCTAATATGTGCATTTCCAAAAAAACCCTTATGCACCCGGAATGCACCCCAGAAAACTCTAGACTAAAGCCTTTTGTATAATAGGAAACCACACAAGTAGGTAGCCCTAGCTTTCGGAACCCGACGAACCATCCCACTGCCAGCGGGATGCCAGGATCTCATGAGCCTGAAGCCAGCCGACAAGCAGAAGTTCATGGCGCCTCCGCCTATGGTGTTTTAGGGTTTAGGGTTTTGGGTCGGGGCTTGAGTTTTTGGGGTTTAGGAGCTTTTTTAAGGGATATAAGGAGGCCCCTAGTAGGGACCCTCAATCTTCCCCTATATGCCCCCTATGTATAATTGCCTTATATCGTCCCTTTATGCCAAAGTAGCCCCTCATAAGGGTCCCTCCTTTAGTCCCTTGAGTTTCGGGGTGGGTTTAGAGCTTTTGGTGTTGAGCGTTCTGGGTTTAGGGGTTTAGTAGACCCGTTTCAGCTTGGGTTTCGGAGCAAGCGGGATCTCTCGCAACACGCCAGTTCAGACCCCATGTCCAGTAGGATTCTTTCGCGTACAACCTGATTCCGCAATCCTAGGGTTGAACGTAGCTATCCACGGCATTGAGACTTCGGGGGGCCAGTGGTTTAGGGCCCTCCTCCCGAGGACGCAGCGATCAACTCCCTGTAAGATTCTCCACGCGTCCCCTGGAGTTGCCCGGAAGCGCCGGGGACTCAGCCACTTGAGACCGACTCAGGAGGAACCCCAGGTGTTGGCCCCCTGTTTTTCCAGGTTGTGTTTTTGTAGAAGTTTATGTTCTGAGGGCTAAAGACCAGTCCGGCCTATCACCAGTCCATGGGTCTGATAGTCCATGGGGCACAGCTGCTCCCCAAACCCTAACGGCCCTTCAAAGCCTTGGAATTTCGGGGAGGGGGGGGGGGGGGGGAATCTTCAACTTAAAAATAGCGTACGTCAGAGACGTACTCGAAGCCTGATTGGGGCAGCGTTGAGGAGTGAGGGGCTTGGAGGTTGGGCTGTTTCCATCCGGGTTGTAGGGTTTGGGGGTCAAAATGAAGGCCGAATGTGGGACTCGCATTCCCATTGCAGCTCAGGCATCTCAGGCTGAGTTCGGGGTTCGGGCAGCAGCAACAATTCTGCCACAAGAACCCTGCCAGGTAGCCTCGCTGCATCCTGAGTGCAGCATGAAATTCTGGCGGCAGTCCTGGCCCAGAAAAAGGAGCGATGCAGACTCCCATTTTGTGAAGCTCAATGATGGCGCAACACAGTCTGCGACCACCCCTGTGCTTGCAGACACGCTTTCACTACAAACGCACGTCTAAACCCTGTAGCAATCTAACGAATGCCTGTGCAACTGGAGCCCAGAAAAGCTTGAATCCCGTATGAAGGGACCATGTTGCTACCCCAAGACGAACAATAAGACAAGCCCAATTACCGAAGCCAAGAGGAGCTCAAAGAAGGCCTGGAAAAAGAGCCTGAGAAGCCTTCTGCAACCTGAGAAATGCTCAGCCCCTAACCCCGCACCTAGACCCTCAACCTACAAAACCCTACTGCGCACCCCAAATCCATCCAAATCCTCAAGCTTGCAGGAGCGATTGGTGGGGTTCTGGCTTACTTATGGTATTAAAGAGAGGCCTCACCGAGAGGACAAAAGGGTGCCCTTACTGAAATCAGGCTCTCGAGCTACTAACCCCGAAAGCACAACGGTTCTGAAGTTCTCATCTGTTCTTATCAGTTTAGGGTACCCAAAACAGAACCCACGAAGATCCAGATCGCCCCCTGCATGGCCAGGTGATTAGCTTGACCATTAGCTTGTTCTGAGGATGCTGGCGTTCAGGGTGTTTGTTTGGCGTTTTGGGGCCAATGCGCCTTGAGTGGCCCCCTTTATCGAGTAGGGAGGGAGGTTCAAGTGGGGCATGTAACCCAAGGTTCCCGAATGCTCCCCACTACTCCCTAAGGCCCCTTAACTCTGTGGTGCTTTACTGCAACTTTAGATCCTCCGCCCCTTTTTGGGTTTATTGGGTTTCTTAATAAGGCAGCTACAAAATTTAATGTATAGCTGCCCTCCTAAGTGCAGCCAAGCTAAGCTTCCCTAAGGTTCCCTAGTAGTACCTCTCCCCTCTCCCTTAAGAACGCAGCAACTCCTAGGTAGGATAAGGGGGACCCTTAAAAGGGAACCCCCTCTTAGCCCTCTTCTGGATCTCTTAACAAGGGACCTTACTCAGAGGGTCTATATCCCCAAGGGGTCCCCCTAATCCTATCCCCTACCCTTGGCCCATGGGCAGGTCTACCGGGTGCGGTCGCCCAACGGCATGCTCGATGCCCAGATCACCTCATTGGCACCCCTGGGGCTTAGGGTGTTTCAGGGGGTTTAGGGTTTTAAGGGTTTAGGGTTTAGGGTTGTTTAGGGTTGTTTAGGGTTTAGGGTTGTTTAGGGTTTCAGCTTGGATGTTCCCCCTTATACTCACGGTCCTTAATGGGGTTTATAGTAGGGGGCACTGTAATCCCCACTAAGGACTGTGCGTATGAGGGGCAGCTTCTCAAGTTTCAGCCCTTCTAATGAGGGTGTTTCCAAAAAGGACAGCCCCGTCCTCGGCAAACTAAGCATGTGAGGCTGCTGGTTCGGCCCCACCCTTTCGGGGACGAACGGGGATAGTACCCCCTGTGAATTCCCAGCCGAACGCTGAATCTACTGGGTCACTGTTATAGTTAGGAACTTGGATGAAGTTTCCAAAGCAAGCCTTGTCTATACACTATTCTATCCCCCCGTCATTTTGTGTTAAAATTAAGTTCCTGAACAGACCCACAAATCCAATGGCTGTACTGCGCAGGGCATGAGTTTTCCGCGTTAGACCCGGAACAACCTCCCCGATGTGACTTCGCTTCTGCAGTTTTTAAGTTGGCTCTTAGTGGCTCTGAAGCCCTCGGTGACGGTGAAGCCATTCCTCTACGCGCCCGCCCATGCTCCCTGCCCCGAGATTCCTCACAACTGCCTGCTTGCTGGCTTCCTGCTTCATCCCAGGCGCCGGTCTTCAGATACACACATGCAACATCTTTGGCCAGGGGGGTTTAATGATTCCACCATATATATGGATGCAATGTAGGGGCAGATCATGCTGAATTATGTTGGGAGGCCTCAATGAAGGGGGAGCCTTGGGGTTGTCCGCGGGCGTAGTAGTTCGTCAGTCCGTGAAGATGAAGCGAGATGAACTCCCAACATTGACCACGCGAGGCTCAGCGGTCAACGGCACATCCGAGTCTTCTTGTGAGGGAGAGGCGTGCGAGGTATCACACGACCTCTTGGCGATGCCTCCTGATGTTTCAACCGGGGGGTTCAAGTTAAGGGTCGCGGAAGGCTGATTGAAGTTGTTGTTAGTTTATGCATTTAACTGCCTTGTTGTCTTCGGAAGCATAGAGAGCAAGGATTCAGCGCTTGCGGCGCGATGACCCAACTTATGACGGGCTTACGATCTCCATACATGTCTCATCGACAGTGTCGACAAACGACGGCAGTGCAACGGTCTGGTGCCCGTATTATGACACTTCCAGGAAGCAGACTCCCACAAATGCTTGGGTGCTGATGTGCATGACAGACCCTCCTGATAGCGGAGACGGCGTGGAGCACCTCAGGCTGAATACTGTCCAAGGTTTGCCCCATCGGACCCCCACTCCCATCCCCCCCTTGCAGGGGGGAGGGGGCGCGCGGACGCCCGATGCATTGGGGGTTGGTTGATTAGCAAGAGGGCCTTGGGCCTGAAAGGCGACCATCCCCCCGTAAAAAACTAAATCCGTGGCCGTGGCGTACCAACAGTTCTAATTTGCCTAACGTTTGGTTGGCAGGTAAAGTTTCCGGGCTTCAGTACTTTCTAGGCAGCCAGATTCTGGGATCCTGGCAGTGATCCCTCAACAGCTTCGGGACCTTCGGGCTTGGGCCGGGGCCGCCTGATTAATTCGGGAGTGGGCTCATGAAAAAGTCGTCTATTACTTCTTAGTTCGGGGCTTGGGGCCACTTTTTGTGGGCTCCAAGTATGCATATGGAATTAATCGCTGCTTTGGTTCCGGTGTTCCTGTGTTCCGAAAACACGCTCAAAACAACGTCCAAGGTACACTAGCAACGACCGTGGATTTCGTGGATGCAAAGCATTCTCCTCGGGATCTTCCATCAGAGCCGTCGCGGTGTGCAGCAACATGCGAACCAATGCGGTGCAAAGCGGCGCCTTTGCGAATTTCGGCAATGACTACGGATTTTGCAACCCCGTATGATCTTTATGAGGAGGCCCTGTTCCAGTTCTTGCTTACGCCTCTGTTTTTCCTGTGCTCCTGGATTCAGGTTTGAGTCGGTCTTAAACATGAAGTAAAAGTAGCTGCTTGAAACACCTGGTGAAGGAGTGCATGCCCTTTTGACCCAAGGTCCATACAGCTACACAAATCCCTTTACACTTCGCATCGACGCTGGACACTACTTTCAGGAGGGGCTTGTCGAGGTGACCCAGGGCCAAAACAGTCATGCTAGGGGCGAGTGGCCAGGGACAGACAAGGATGGACGCAGGATCCCTTGCTCTCATGATGCGCTGCCTTCATTGCAATCAATGGTTCTTGAAGGATTCTGGAAGTCTTGTTCATTTCTGGGCGTCACAGATCTACTGTTTTGTTTAGCCTGGCTAAGGTGACCTGCGACAACGGGAAACGGCCCTATGCCTGCCTCTGCCGAACCAAATGGGGGCTGAAGTATTGCCAGGGCTCGAGCCTCTTCGCGCCCGACGTCCACAACCGAAAATGCACGAGGCTAGGGTCTTGAAGATGCCTGAAACAGCCGATCAGAGGGCTTCTTTCAGATGGTTTATGCCGTGAGCAAGACATGCTTGGGCAATGCGTGGCAATCAGTGGTCAATGCAACCTCGGGCCAAAGCTGACCCAAGGAAAGAAAGCACAGTTTTAAGCAGCCGTGCCCTCGGCCAGCAGAGTTTCAAGAGGCATGTCACGCGGGCGATCTCCGCGACAAACTTGGAAGCGTCCTGCTTCGTTGCGCGAGTTCGCGGCCAAACAGCATGATTTTTGCAACCCCTTGTCACAGATGATGACCAGCTGATCCAGTAGTAAGCCTCTCTGAATCCGACGGGTAGGAGCACCATGCTGAATAAGGTCAAGATTATTCCTAGTATCACACGGTGTCATTCTTGTAGTCCCTTCAAGAGCACGTAGAGATCCTTGCCTGAGAGGCAGGTGCCGACGGATATCGCACACCGCCGCCGCCGCTGTGTTGTGTGCCCGGGACCCACGGACGATGATTCAGAGGGCGCTTACGTCTTTGCCATCTGCATCGGGAAGAATGAGGACAGGGTGTTGCCTGCGGTTGATCAACAGCTGTAAGCAGGGCACGTGGGGTTGTAAGGAACCGAAGGATTCGGATTTCTATCCTCTTCAAGACCACAACCCCTGCTCCTGCACATTTATCAAGCGGGGCTGTCGCCCACACCCGGCCTTTTTCTTAAGGACTTGGAGTATTGAGTACGGGTGCAGGCTACGGCTGAGGCTTCTAATAAGAAATCTGCCTTTTTCAGCCAGGGTTTCGACATTTCTTAAAACCCCAAATGGAAATAAGAAAGTTAGGTTTGAACCAGACCCTGAAATATATTTCTGATTCGAGGGTTGATTAGAGGTGAGTATAGGGACAGAGTTGGGGAACATGTAACTCACCAGTGTAGAGCTTGTCGGTGTGCTCTAAGCTCTAAACCCTAAACCCTAAACCCTACACCCTAAACCCTAAACCCTAAACGCGGGGAAGAGGCCCGGCACAAAAAGTCACCTTTTTTGGGCCTTTCCGGCCTGAAACACCTCAAAAAAGGTGACTTTTTGTGCCGGGCCTCTTGCCCTAAGCCCTGAGCCCTGAGCCCTGAGCCCTGAGCCCTGAGCCCTTAAAGGCTTCCCCGCAAGAGCCCGGCATCCCCGCAAGAGCCCGGCACAAAAAGTCACCTTTTTTGGGCCTTTCCGGCCCCAAGCACCTCAAAAAAGGTGACTTTTTGTGCCGGGCCTCTTGCCCGCAAGAGCCCGGCACAAAAAGTCACCTTTTTTGGGCCTTTCCGGCCTGAAACACCTCAAAAAAGGTGACTTTTTGTGCCGGGCCTCTTCCCCGCAAGAGCCCGGCACAAAAAGTCACCTTTTTTGGGCCTTTCCGGCCTGAAACACCTCAAAAAAAGGTGACTTTTTGTGCCGGGCCTCTTCCCCGCAAGAGCCCGGCACAAAAAGTCACCTTTTTTGGGCCTTTCCGGCCTACCTCAAAAAAGGTGACTTTTTGTGCCGGGCCTCTTCCCCTAAGCCCTAATCCCTAAGGCGCAGGAGGGGGGTTTGAACTGGCAACCTTTCGGTTATAAGAGCTGCGCCTTATGCCACTCGGCTAATGAAACCTAAAAACCTCTTCCCTCCGCAGCTAAAGTCGCTTCTTCCGGACCAGTTCCTAAGCCCTGAGCCCTGAGCCCTTAAAGGCTTCCCCGAGCCCGGCACAAAAAGTCACCTTTTTTGGGCCGCACCTCAAAAAAGGTGACTTTTTGTGCCGGGCCTCTTCCCCGCATGAGCCCGGCACAAAAAGTCACCTTCCGGCCTGAAACACCTCAAAAAAGGTGACTTTTTGTGCCGGGCCTCTTCCCCGCAAGAGCCCGGCAAAAAGTCACCTTCTTTGGGCCTTTCCGGCCTGAAACACCTTAAAAAAGGTGACTTTTTGTGCCGGGTCTCTTCCCCGCAAGAGCCCGGCACAAAAAGTCACCTTTTTTGGGCCTTTCCGGCCTGAAACACCTCAAAAAAGGTGACTTTTTGTGCCGGGCCTCTTCCCCGCAAGAGTCCGGCACAAAAAGTCACCTTTCCGGCTTGAAACACCTCAGAAAAGGTGACTTTTTGTGCCGGGCCTCTTCCCCACAAGAGCCCGGCACAAAAAGTCACCTTTTTTGGGCCTTTCCGGCCTGAAACACCTCAAAAAAGGTGACTTTTTGTGCCGGGCCTCTTCCCCTAAGCCCTAAGCCCTAAGGCGCAGGAGGGGGGTTTGAACTGGCAACCTTTCGGTTATAAGAGCTGCGCCTTATGCCACTCGGCTAATGAAACCTAAAAACCTCTGCCCTCCGCAGCTAAAGCTGCTTCTTCCGGACCAGTTCCTAAGCCCTGAGCCCTGA